TAGTTAATATTCAAGAGCAAATATTTACATATATTGATACGTGCGCTGCTAATCTTTATTCCTGTCCAATGTGCTTTTCTTTGAGAAAAAATATTGTCTGACATTCTGTGATAAACAAGTATAAAGTACATTCTCGTAGAGTCATGTAAAAAGATAATAACTTAATGTGACTGTTTCGATGAAGAAAAGAAAATCGGATCTATGCTTCTAGAATACCTATCAAATATTTTCATATACTAATGATCTGTTTTATTGAAAAGTTGAGTCGTCTACTGATTTTCCCTTGTTTTTTCTTCTTCATCTAAATCGTGAGATCAATCCTAAGGATTTCCTATAGACTCGCCTATTTCATCTTTTCATATATTGTGTTTCTAAGTCATTTCCTTCTGTTTGAAAGCTTCTCAGATGTTCAAATGCAAAGTAACCGTATGATCCAATTTACTTTACTCATTGTCTGCTTTTACATTATGACAAATTAGACGATCTTTCTTCTCACATTCTCGATCAGTAACTTTACTTTCTTTCATCTAATTCCTACATTGTCATGGATACATCATAATAAATAAATGAAAAATAATCTTTCTCTATTTTTCTATAATATATTTCCATGTAAGCAGAGAATGATAAGATAAGCTTAAATAGGTTTTCTATTATCAAGTAATGAAACACCAAACACTATAACATTAGGAAAAATATTTTAAAATACTATTTTTATCTTTGCGAGCTAAAACTTTTAGGTAATCAAAACCACTGTTTGGGTACACATCGTAAAAATTTTAGTATAATGTCTTAAAAGCAACTTATACCCGAACCAACTTAAGGTTCTTAACTATTCACTTACTGACTATCGTATTTCTAGTCGAAAAGATTTATTATAACAAAAACGATAATAATAAAACGTATGTCTTTTTTAGTCATCCATCATCGATTTTTTTCTTACGCACTATGACTACGACTTTCTCCCCTAGTACAAAACCAAAACACATAATGATATCTTATGCTTGGACAGAAACACAAGATCTTGCTTATGAAGTAGCTGAACAATTAAAGAATGAAAACATTCCAATTTGGATGGATATTCGAAATGGACTTGGCGGACATATTAATGATGGGTAAGTAAATTAAAAATGAAATTATACAATCCCAAAATCTTTTATTAAGAATGGCTGAAGCTGTGGAAAATAGCGCTGCTGTTTGTTTCTTTATGACACCAAAATATCAAAGTTCAAAAAGCTGTAGAAAAGAATTAGAATATGCTGAAAAATTAGAAATCCCATTAATACCCTGTCGATGTCGTGTAGATTTCAAACCTTCTGGATGGCTTGGTATTATCTCTGCTGGTTTATTGTGGTATGATTTTCGAGATTTATCAGATAAACCAGTAAATAACACAATGAATAAATTAATTAAATATATACAAATGAATATTTTTAAAACGACACCAACTGTATTTCCTGGTAATATTTTAAAAAAAAAACTAAAATAAAATTTTAAGAAAATTCTTCATGTTTAGATCTAGAAGGTCGAACATCACCAATTATATTTCGTAATCGTCATCAATTTCGAACTATAGAAAAACAATCTATAACTAATCAAGACGAAACAACATTCTCAAAAATGAATCAATTAAATAATGAAATTTCATCTCTTTATAATCCAGATTTTAATAATGAACAAAATGGTCATCGTTTTACTTCATCAGATGATCTTATTGGTACAAAACAAATGCTTATGCCACTTGAAGGTTATGAAACTGAACCAATTGTATCACTTGAAAAATCTATTGAATCATTAGTAGATTTATTTAATGATGATATTCATCGATATGTTTATATAGCTAAACAAAATACACGTACACCAAAAGATAGTTTAACATCTGATGAATCAGCTGCAATTCAGCTTTATTCAATGCAATGGCCTAATATTGATGATAGTTTATATATTCGTCTTAATCGAGCATTACGTGGAGTTAATCGACAAGTTATTATACCATGGTTTTCTTATTTAAAATTATTTTTAACTGCTTTATTTAAATTACTTTCATGTCATAAAACAATATGGCGTGGTGTAAAAGGTGATTTAAGTAATCAATATAATAAAGATCAAGATATAATATGGTGGGGTGTTAGTTCTTGTGCTATATCTGTTAGTGTTATTGAACAATTTATTGGTCAAACAGGTACAAGAACAATATTTTCAATTGAAGCAATAAATGCCAAATTTATTCGTGAACATGCTTATTTTAAAGAAGAAGATGAAATTATTCTTCCTCCAGGAACTTATCTTAAAGTTATAGATAAAATACAACCAGCAAGAGATCTTACAATTATACATTTAAAGGAAATTATCCCTCCTTTTCCTTTAGTTGCATCTCCATTTAATAATGATGATAATAATCAACAAGAACAATCTCAAACTAATTCATCATATTCAAACCAACAAAGAGAAATTAGATCAGAATCTATAGTTAAGAATATTATTAATCAATTAGGTCAAAATATTGATGAAACACAGATAACATCAGAAAACAAATAAATAATATCACAAAGGCTTCTGATTTAGATTCTTCTTGTTATAATAAAAATTCATCGAACAGATATAAACTGATCAGATATCAAAACATATGCTGTATTTAAAACACCAAGATAATATGTGTCTTACTTTCGACATATTCTGAACACGTAATTCGCGTTCTCGATCCCATTTACCAATAGTCTTGAATCCTATTGATTGGCACAAACATAAAGATATCGTTCTGTGGAAGGAGACAAAACATCTTTTCTAATTATTTCTTCGTTTACTACTTTTTTTAAAAATAAGATATTTGTTCGAGATAAAAAATTTAAACTGTATCATATGTTTGATATGGAGATAAATGAAATTCTGGACACCTGTTTTATCCTACACTGTCGCACAGGTCTCTAGATTCGAATGTACCTTTCATTGCATTTGTCATATCTTCTATCTAAGGAAAGATTTTTTTTTTGATAACATCTACTCATGAAGTTCAAGACGGTAAGATCTAACTGCAGAGTCGTTATGTTTGAATAGTTAAGTTGTTTGACATATATTCACAGGGTGATTTGTTCGAACCTCGATGTTATCAAACATAGAATGACTCTGAATAAGTCACGAATAGCTGTTTGTCTTGAATCATTCCTCCGGTAGTACACTGATTACGTGGCTGACATACACAGAAAGTCTTTCTAGGTAGTATGTGATTATATTCCTTGTGCACAGGAAGTTTAAGTCTTGATCATCTAGTGGTCTCTTTATATGTTCTTGAGAAAAGATGTACTAAAATTTTTTTTCCAACTGAATCTGCAAAACAAAATACTGAATAAATGATTGGCCATTATACTAGAGAACTAAAAATTATGTTTAAGTTTTCTATGATTTTTAACGAAATAAATAATAAATCACGTTCATCAAAGCAAAATTCAAAAAAAAATAACCGAAAAAACTTGTATTCATTAACTGATTTAATCAAAAACCTAGTATTTAAGAATTTTTTATATTTAATGCGAATAAATTCTGAAATACTTCTCTTTAGACTGTACTATTAAAAAACTTCATCCTACAGATCTCACTTTGTAACACAATTTATGTTAGAATATGGAATTAATCAAAAATTCTGTTAATATTTAAATAAAAAGATAATTTTGATTTTGTTCGATCTTTGGGTGTGGGGTGTGGGTGTGGGTGTGTGGGGTGTGTGGGTGTGGGTGTGGGTGGGTGTGGGTGCGTGGGTGTGGGGTGTGGGTGT